TCAGGACTTAAAGAAGAACTAGACCCATTCACATATTTGAATGTTACTTCTACCATTTTGAAAAGTCTTCATTCAGCAAAGTTTGGAACATCGAACCAGTTAAGTTTGCTATTGTGACTAAAAATGGTGCGAAATTTGAAGACTTAGACATAGAAGGTTTGTTAGCAGTCAAAGAAAGTTTTGACAGAAGGTTTTCAAACCTTAAAGAAGGCAAAGCATACAAACTTGTTATACCTTATGAACCAAAGAAGCAGACGACTATGAATATTATGAGTCTAAAGTTTGTAGAAGTTCAAGGTAAATTGGGTAAAAAGATTTTAGAGTCTAAGCCAGTGTTTACTCCTAAAGAGGAAGAGAACATTGACATTGACCCAGAAATGTTCTAAAAATAAAATTTTATTTTTACATGTCAAATTTCTTTTTCTCTGGAACTGGTTCAGGTTCTTTCTTCTCTTCTTCTACTTTCTTTTCTTTCTTTTCTTTCTTCTTCTTTTCTGGTGGAGTTATGTCAAATTTGGCGCAACTATATTTATGTAAAAGTTCTTTGTCCTTTAATAGCTCTTTCTTATTCTGTTTTCTATTTCATCTTCAAGAAAAGCGCATGTGTCTTCTTTGCATTCTAAGAAATTTTGTTGGACTTCATCTTTCCAAGAGGCGTCATCTCTGTCAACAAGTCTGTCATGACAAACTTAAAGCTTCTCTGCCTAATGTTTTTATGGTTCTTGTCATATCCAGAAACAGAACTTTAGAAACAAATTCCCCTTTTTGTTTTACACTATGTAAGATTTTATGGTCGACAGATGTTTTGCTGTCGAAAAGCTTGTCTCGAATATAGATAGCGAAATCGCTAGACATTTTCTAAAAGATAAAAAATTTTTCATATTCTTATAGACAGAAAGTTTCTATACCAATAGTTTTGTTATGGTTAGTACCAGCTGTTTGATATAACTTCAAACATTATGTTCTCATGTCGATACGGAACGGTGCAGTGAAGGCTTACTTTTACATCGTTCAGAAACGCGAAGGACTTCAATACAAAGAGATACTAATGATAGGAAGAATATATATATAACTCAAAGATATGACAGTCACAGTCAATAGAGTCAAGGTTGTGTTGCTAATGATAAGAGAGCTGCAGATAACAGATACTACTTCGAAAAGTTTGAGGAAAATATATGGTGTCCCAAAAGGTAAGAAACGTTTGAAGTAGATGAGATAGATAAAGCTATAAAATTATTTGACGAAGTTGCTGAAAAATACATGTAAAGCGTTTATTTTTTGGTCTTTTGTGAAAGTCAAAAATAACGCAATTATTTTATAAAATATTTTTTTATTATTGTTAAAGACAGATATGTCACAACAGAGAACACAACAAACAGTATAGTCATGAAGCTATAAATGAAGAATACGAGTACATTACAGTATAACAAACAACTCCGTCTCATTCGTTCGGTCAAAGACGAATATGTACCAAAATGCAAAGTATTTGACAGCATGTTTTGCTCCAGATACTAAGAAACACAAGACTGGTTTAGGAACCAAGACAACAAGACTTTTGAGCGAAGCACAGCGAGACATACTTTTTTCTGAAAACAGTGAAGAACAGCGAGTAAGTAAAAAACCGCAGTCGCCAAACTCTATAAAATCGTGAAGAACAGCGAAGTAAGTAAAAACAAACGCAGTCGCCAAAACTCTTGAAACAGTGAAGAACAGCGAGTAAAAGTAAAAACCCCAGTCCCAAAAACTCTATGAAAATCGTGAAAATTGCCAAACGGTTTGAGAGGATATTATGTACATAGACTTCTTGTAAATGCTGTTGCAATGTGGGCTTCGCCTCGTTTGCTTGGTATATTGTACAGACTTCTTGACGAAATTCATAGACAAGAACGTGAAGAGTATGGAAAACAAGCTTGAAGCAAAAGACAAAAGCATTCAGAAAAGAATACCACGTTCGGTACCAAAGGAAAGGAAAAGAACTATAAGTATAGTGATTTATACTGAAGAGTTGGAGAAAGAAGAAGACAGAGATATGGTTATGTTGCATTTAGTCAGAAGAAACAACAAAGCTTTTACGACCTTGCTAAGATTTACAAATCTGACAGAAATTGGTCTATCGCGAAAACTTACCGATTTCAATGACACCGAATGAAGATGTGAACAAAATAGTTCAAAGATACGTTACCTCAAACACACTATGATATTAAGGTTGTACAATACTTACATTCAAAGAAGATTTGTCATTGTTAAAGGAAAAAATAACAGAGTATATTTGACAACTTCAAACAAGTAGGGTAAATGAACTCTTTATTTTTCAAGCTTGACTTTTTACAATTTGAACTTTGTTTGCGTAGATATGAATTCTGAAAGAAGTATGAGGGTCTTGTATGACTTTGTACTTCTCCCATAGTTCATGTCTGTCAAACTTACCTGCCATGGACTCTTTCATAAGTTCCATGAAATCGTCTTCGGACAATCGGGGAAAAGTATAATGTCAGTAAGTATTCTTTTAACATCCTTACTTAAACTCTTTGCTGTTCTGTACACAAATGACAATGAGATGTTAAAGTGTCTGAGCTTCTTAAGAATTCGACACATATCTTGTTCTCTATTCTTAAGCAAAGGATGAGAAGCAAAGTCATCTAAGATAGAGACACCTATGAGGGTATTGGCTTCCATCGTAAGATTGCAATTTCTTCGAAATGTATTCTATCTCTTTCTGTTTGTTTCTGAAGTGTTTCTTCTCTAATATTCTCTGCATTTCTCATTTGGGTCTTTAAACTTAGAATTTATATACTCATTTATAGCATTATACTTCAAAACTCTTCTTTGGTACTTCTTTTATCCAATCTAACAAACTCAGAGTCTTTTATACATACTAACTTAGACTTCTTTATAATATCTTTGAACGAATTGACGGTTTGGTCAAATTGACCAGAAGATACGAACAAATAACAACTACTCATAAAATGGGTTCTTCTCATCTAGTTCTTGTTGTTGTGCAGCCATTTTAAGATAAGTGAAAGTCTTACCACGACCCAGGTGGTGCAATTAGACCTGTTATACCATTCTGAGCAAATAAGAACTTGTCATGTATAGGCTTTATCTGAGCATTTTCTAACTTCCTCTTGTTCTTGTTTAAAACATTCTCAAATTTTTGTCATGTCAGCAAACTTTTTTCTAACATATTTTTAGAAAAATTAA